TGAATGGCCATATTTACACAATTCAATGGTAACTTGCTCTAATTACCAGAAATTCAAAATCGCTTGTAGGCACAGACCAAAAGCCCCTAATTTAAGTAAGCTCATTCACTACATTCCACCAGCACCAGCACTACAAAGCCCATTCCAACTTGAATTAACCGGAATCCAAATCGACCTCAAAATAGGTGAGGAGAAAGTTGACGAACACTCACCCAATAATGTCTTGATAAATCCTCTGCGGACACAACCTCCCTATCCCCGCCTGTATCCATCTGATGATGGCCCCCCAAGCTCAGCAGAGTCGGCGCGCGGATCTGATCCTTCTCGGGATCCTCCGAATTCGACGCGCTGATCGCTAGAGCTAATTGAACCTGGAACTCCTCCTCCGACAACATGTAATCGGTACTATTATTTGCCGACACCGTCGACGCTGCTGTAGTATTCCCGGAGCTCGTCGGAACAGTAGCCGGAGAAGGCGATGACGTGGAGGGACTCGTCGGAGAGTTTCCGGACATGGTACGTTGATGATCGGTGGCGCATGAGGGAGACGGCGGCGGCGGCGTCTCGTTGGTCCGATTAGGCTCGTGATTATGGCCTGTGTAGCTTCTTGAAAATGTGCTTCATTTCTCTCCTTTTCCTTTGTTTTCTCCCTAAATCTACCGTTTCTCTCAAAAAAAGTTAATGCAACTTTCACTCTATTTTCCTTTGCTCACTAAAATTTTCCCTCCCTTTCCCTCACTTTCCTGCTCTTTCCTCCGTAGATTTTGAGGGTGGAGGGAATGTGTTAGGAGGGAGGGAGGGAAAACTTAATGCACTAGAGTTGAGTTGAGTGCATTTATGTCGGCCTGTAATATATAGAAACTTCAACTTTCTCAAAATTACGTAACTGGCGATGTATGGTTTCAAGCTCTCTGCGTCTTGGCAGACATCATAGCACCAATGACTTCTGTAGCTTTGGATTTTAAATTATGGCATAATTTTTTTATTTTTTGTTAACCAGCACAGTTAAAAGGATTGGGATTGTAATTGTCGATACTTAAATCTTAAAATTTTAAATATTATCATGTTTTTTAATGGAGTTATAACAATTAAATCACAATAGTGGTTGGTGATATTATAGTATAATAAATTGTACATTAGGGAAGAGAAAATAATTGTCTATCTTCTCGAGATAAATATATTATTACATTTTAAATAGTTAATATTATATTTTTTTAATATAATTATCTATCATACTCTTATATTATATTTGTTTTTGAAAATTTTATATTTTTTTGTTTTTTAATAAATTAAAAAATATAATAATCAATTAACATAAAGAACATAACATCAATAATTAAAGATGTGATAATAATATTACTCATCTTTCTAATCCCCTCTCCGCTTATATTAAAATTTGAATTTGAAAGTTTTAACATAAAATTTTTAACTTTTAACGTGTCTTTGAAAAAAAGAGAGGAAGGGTATATAAATTAGTCATACATTTTCTAACAATTAGGAGTATAAAAACTGAAAACTACAATATTTAGAGACATTATTAGGAAGATACAAATACCATGAGAAATAAAACCCTTAAGTTAGGGGTTTGGAGTAAGGGCCTAAGGTCCAGGCCCCTCTAAAATATTAAAAATTTTCTTTAGCTTTAACTATAAAATAACAAAATGCTGTGTATATGTTAATTATTAGGTAAAAAGAACAAACCTAAACTTATTTATCACTTATAACATAATTGATTACCTAAACCCAAAATTTTTTCTCCCAATTCAAAATATAACTTGATTGTTCTAACACCGTTTTCTTTAGTCAGGATGT